TATTCTCAGCTATGATAGTAGGATAAGTTCGTGCGCTATGGATACTATTTAATAATTAAAATCAATATTTTTGGGCAGTTCTATAGCACTTAGGCACCAGTCGTCACTGGCCTTAGTATCACTTTTTCTAAGCATATGCATGAGAAATGGTGATAATTTGTACACAATTACCACCAACTTTTCTATGTTCTGAAAATTTGAAGACCACGCTCTATACTCAAGCTATTATTCTTTACGGGCTCTTAAATTCATATAATAAATAATTTTTTATTGCAATTAATTTCATTGATGGAAAAATAACTGAAAAATCGAAGAAAAAAACATCCGTTACATTTTCCGACCACAAAATACTTTCGATGGACTCGTTTGGCAATATCGGTTAATATATCGATTTTCCTTACTAGATCACGCCCTTATTTTAACCCTTTAGCCACTTGCAACATTCAAGTCTTTGATTTTCTGAAGTAAAGTTCTATTAATTTATCATTTAGTGAACACGTCGTGCGTGAAAATATAGACGAATTTTTTAAATGAAATCCCCAGGGGCCACTCGTAAATTTCCTTCCATTTTACTCAACATCGATGTACTTTTCAACCTTTCTCGAGACTTGTGTATGCGAAAATAGGGCCTACATATGTCACTATCTAACGGTATATTACTATAGTTCAAATTTTAAATCATTTTATCCATTTTAAGTTATATTTTTTTGAAATTCAATTCTCTTTTAAAACCTTTAAGAGGAACATACTCCTTATTCTCGAAAAAAAAAAATAGCTTAAAAAAGGAAAAATTGAACGTTTCAATTTACAGTGATTGGGCTTATACATTCAGTCAAAAAGAGTCTCACCAAATTTCATCAACATTGGCCGAATATAAAATATTATTTAAAAAATTCCTACTACGAGCTGAAATTCAGTAGAGCCTTTCACCCTTTTATTAGTGAGTGCTGGGTCTATGGATTTTGAAAACACTTTGTTTTCAATATGATTGCCATGGTCTTATTTTACTATAATTAAATTACAGATAAGCAAATCGTTTAAAATCGTATTAAAAATAAAGTATTTTTAAAGCCTATACTCCCAGCCCACACTAATAAAACCCTCTGCGAAATTTCAGCTCTTAATTTCTATTCGACTAGTTGTAGGAATTTTTTAAAAAATATTTAATTTTCCTCCGCAATATAAGCTTACATTTTCGGCCAATGTTGAAATTTGGTGAGACTCTTTTTGACTGAATGTATACACCCAATCACTGTAAATGAAAACGTTCAATTTGTCCCATTTTAAGCTCTTCTGTTTTTGCGAGAATAAGGTACTATGTTCCTCTTAAGGGGAAATATATATCTAAATGTATGGGGTAAATTTAAAAACATTCATATATAAAAGTGTAAGCAATGCAAGATTTTAGCAGTGTTCTATTTATATGTACCTAAAATTATTATAAAAATATCACATTAAAACATTCTAAAAAAAGGAATTAAATATTTTATTGTAAAATAACTCCTAAACTAGTAACTTCTTTTTTTAAAACAAAACCATTGGAACTATTTTCCAAGCAAATAAATAAAATATCGTGCAAAGTTCTAAACTGTGATAGTGTCTAGAAGTGTTAAACAGAGAGTAGATTGAAATGAAAAATTACATGATAGTTTACATTATTCAAGAATATAATCTCAAATGAACAATTTCCATCATAGTAGGTAAACGTATTAAATTTACATCGAGAATTTTGGCAACATATCTATTATTGATTGTTTTTTATTCATTAGACAATTATTGGCTAAGTAAATTTAAATAAATTCATATGTCTGTGACTTGAAATGGTTGCGATATTTTTCAAAAGAAACAACAATAATTATTATTATTATAATAAACTATTATTATTATAAATTAAAAATTTATCAGGAAAAAATTTGTTGGTTAAAATTTTGCCGATACAAACAAAAATAAAAGAAACCCCAAGGAGTAAAAAACAATTGGAAAATTGTTTTTTTAAGCAAGTGGTTGGGTGATTCAGTTCATTGTTATTATGTAATTTATGAATTTTATTTAGATACAAAGTCTAAACTGCCACAAATTTAATCAAATATGTCCTTTAAAACAGAAGGGTTGAAATCTCGGTTGAAATAAACTTGAATAAAATGACTCATTTATTGTAAAATTTAAAGCAATAATTAAGGAGAGTTGGCTCATATGCTCAAAATGATGCTATTCTGCCTGCAAACAGCAATGTAATCCACGTTTGTAAAAACATTTCTGTGGTTAAGTTTTTCCTTGGGTTCTAATTGGAATTCTTGCAGGTTGCATGTTGGGAAAAATACCATACCTATTCCACTAAAGGTTTACATATCCTTTTAATTCATAAAACTATTTCGTAACAAATTTTTGTAAATAAAAGGGAAGGGATCCATATGCAAATATTTGTGGTAACACAAAAATAAAAATTGATATTATTAAGATATTTTATGAACGCTACTGGATTACAAGTCAATGTATTAAATTTGATTGGCAACTTTAAAAAAATCACAATCATTTTCAGTCACCTGGTATATACAGGGTGAGGCACCGAAAACGAAACAGATCGCATATCTTAAAGACACATTTTTTTTTGAGAAAATGCAAAAAGAGGTCGATTTTTATTTCAAAGGGGACATCTTTCGATCATATCCTCAACTATCCTACATCCCTCCCCACCCCTCTGTCACTATTACCAATGAAATTGAAATAGGGTAAGTACTAAGTGTGACACATCATTGAAAAGGTAATTTTGAAATAAAAATCGACCTCTTTTTGCATTTTCTCCAAAAAAAAAATGAGTTCAAGATCTGTTTCGTTTTCGGTGCCTCACCCTGTATGTACATAAACTGGAAACATCTGTTGTCAAAGCTCATTTTTTTATTTTATTGAAATAAACATTATCTCCTGACGTATGAATTGTATTATAATGATAACTCCTTTTTGAATCAACTTTCTATTTTCATGAGTTAAAATAATGTATTATGCAATTATCTATGTTTAATCACTCCAACCTACATTTTTATTTTTCTACAAGCTTCTAATTAGTGCCATATGGCACTAATTAATGTGTGTATTGTAAAACGGTGCATGTGTATAATAAATATTGTTTGCAGGATATATATCAGTAGTTTTCCAAATCCACATTTAAAAAATTTTTTAGGCAAGTTGCAAGAGTTAGACATTTTGTATTTGTTGTAGATATTATATCAAAAAATATATATTTGGATAACGTGATATATACCCTCATATGCATTTAAGGATACAGAGTAATGCTGAATTGTTGTTAAACATTGTAAATCCAAACATAAAGAATAACAATTCGAAAACTAAGAACGATATCATTAAACTAAGTCCAATCGCCCATCTGAAATGTTTATTAATATTTATTTATGCAATGCCATGAATTGATTTATTAATTACAATTGTATTTTAATTCAATTTGGGAAGAGGTCAAATTAGTTTATTTTCACTAGGTATAAATTTTATTAGATATTTCCATTAGTTGTTTGAAATTGGATTACCTAAAGATAAACATATAAATCAAAGTTATTGAGCAGGCTTCTCTTGCTCCAGTCACATCATCCTACATTAGTTTAACATAATGATTCCTTTAAAGGAGAAAAAAGTGACTTAAAGAAATGGATAATTTATGTTAAAATAATGTTCTAAATTTATCATTCTATTTAATTTATAGAGAAGAAAATTCATCTATAAATTTAATAAATATTAATTTTTTTGATTGTAAATTTGAAACCTAAATTTACAAAATAGGCTAAGACAGTCCATCCAAGGATATACTTAAAAAAAACTTGATCAACCCTATTTAATTATTTGAGATTATAAAGCAATTTATTATTTCACTCTAATCTTTTATTGTTCTTTCAAGTTTATTTATGATTGATTCTCTGGGTACAAAATCTTTCATAAAGTGGTAGAGGAACGATAAAGATATTTTAATATTTCTACAACTCAGTTACACACAAGGTATTCTGGAATAAAGTATAAACAAGAAAACAACTGAAGTTTACATTATGTCATTGCAAAAATTTGACAAAAATTTTAGGTATATAAGTAGCTCAAATACATTAAAGCAGAGCGCTCCATGAAGATTTTTAAAAAAGATTAATTTTTTTGACCCCTTGTAGAAGTCAGGTACATGAAAATCATTCATTGAAAAGAATAAGTCAAACGAAACTGGACATGGATTACTTAAAAAATGGTATAGGAGAAACCTACCTTAATTTTGTCTATAAAATTTCCGTTCTAATAGAAAATATCATACAAATTAGGTAATCTTGTAGTTGAAGGGTCTGGAAATGCGCCTGTCCACAAAATTCCAGTTCCAGCTAGTTCTGACAGTTGGAATCATTACATATAGTTGCCAGGTTATATTTAATTATTTGTAACCAGGGAATAAGCATATTGAAATAACTATTTTACTTTTAATCATCTATTTGCCAATTTTTACAACAAAAAAAATGCTCTGAAGGTTTTCAAGTAATACGATCGTTATTTTTAATGTCAATAATACCTTTCAATAGTGATAATTACAAAATCCTAATTTGTGTCAAATTCAAATTCTAGACATCAGTGTAGAGTGGTGTGAATATGTGCATTTCTAGACCCGTCAACTACAAGATTACCTGTGATGATCAGTTCTGCATATTTAATTGAGAGTTTCTGTAGTTCTGGAGTCTGCGGTTATTGAACTTATGACTTCTAAGTATGATACCTTCTGTTTACTCAGAACTACAAATTTTATTTTTGTATTTAAATTATAGTTTCATTAAATGTTACTGTGATTATTTGTCATATTTATTCTAATGATTGTTGATGAGGTCAAAAAATATTATGGGTCTAGTATTTAAAATGTAATAATATAAATCCTTGAGGTATATGAGACCTTATTATAACAGCTGACTTGTAAATAATGTCACCAAAAGTTGTTTTAATATAGTGGGAAACTCAAAAGGTTTACTTACTGAATATGGTAATTGTCTAGAAAGAGGTCTGATTGGGATATCACTTCGTTTGAACAAGCTTTCACTGTCTCTTCCTTGTTCCATAATAAAGTAACAGAAATTATAAAATGGGAAACCAAAATTAAAAATCTTGCAGGTATTAATCCAGAACTGTTGTGCATAATCTAAAATAAATTACACATACAAATTAAAGGTAATTCTAGTTCAAGCTTCAAGAAAAATTAAATTATTCATTGCATGAAACTATATAATATCAATCATATCAATACAAACAAAAATAATACATGCCTGAAAAAATAGGGATATCCTAATTTACCGCATTAATAAAAAGTATTGTTCATTATTGTTAGTTGTGCCAAAAATAAGCTATTTATGGTGTAGCTAACTGAATCAGTTGAAAATAGGAACTAAATTAAAAAAATTTAAATTCAAATGTGTTTACTTTTAATAACCTTATGACACATACGATGCGGTTGTTGGTTGTGCGCCTGTGCGGTCGTGCTGCGCAGTGTTGCCAACCTTTAAGTACGATTTTTCCCTCCACTTACCTTAAAAATTCCCGTTTAGGGTTGCCACCTTTTCATTTCTCAAAACCCGGACCTGTGTTCTAAACAAAAGGTCCTCAGCTAACCAGGTCCTTCTAGGTGCTAATACCCCATGTAAAATTAGTACAGGTGGCATCCCTTCTCCAGTTAACAAAATCGGTTTTATACCTACTTGTATACATTTAAAAAGGATAGGTACCCTAAAAACAAATACTTTAAAAATACAAAAATACGTCAAAGCAATAACAAATGTTATTTAATTTTTTTTTAAAATCATACATTTTTCACAATTTGGACTGGAGTAAAAAAAATATATCCCTTTTTGAGTTCCTTTCGCTTTTTCCCTTTTGTGTTAAAAATTCTAGCAAAACAGGAAATTTCCCTTCGGTTGGCAACACTGGTTTCCTTTCTGAGAACCAAGGATTCATTATTAAACAGGGTAGCCTAATTTCTAAAGTGCGTGATTTATGACGTCACTGAAGAACCTCTCATACATTTGAAAAAGCAAAATTAAAGGTTAACATATTAGATCTCGATAAATATATTTAAAATAAAAGAATAAGGCGAATCTAACAGAGTTTTCATTTTATTTTCAATGTTATCATCCTTATAAAACAATAGAAAAGTCCGAGGGAATCGATATACAAAAGTAAATAGATATTACTTCTTATTATTATATTACAAAATTCAATAAAAAATATTTCTCTATGGTTTAGGATGATTATTACGTATTATAGATTATTATAAAAGTGTACGTACAGTGATTAGACGCCCTTATAAAAATTATCACTTGTACAGGATGTTATAGAACTTTATTACAATAATTTTTTAATCTTAAAATACTTTTAACTGAATTTTTATTTTTAATTACGATGGGACTATTCTGAAATTTTTTAGTTACTCTAAAAGGAAAATTACATTTTCAATTTAAACCTTGAGTTATTATGTTTGAAATGGCTTTATATAGTTGTACATAAATGGAAAAAATACATTTTCACATAAATAATTTTTGATAAAATATCGTTCCATCCATACAATTTGTATACTTAAATGGAACGATATTTTCAGAAGTGGCGTAGCTCAATGCTACACTTTCGATGCAAAGGAAAAGACCTATTATGTGGCTTATAGGATATTTCCCAAAATCCTACCATAATTTCTAAACAAAGATTAAAATTACATTGTTAATGTTAAAATGTCATTTTATTCTTTGTTTAAGACCGATTCCACCGTTGTGTTAAACGAAATTTAAAATGACATTTTTACATTAACAATGTCATTTTAATCTCCGTTTAACACAACGGTGGAATCTGCCCTTAATATTTTAAACTTTGTTTAAATCAACGGTGGAATCGGCTCCCAACAAATCAAGGGAATTCTAAACTGGCAACATATGCCGCGTTTGAGAATCCAACATCGGATGCATTTTTTACATCTCGAGCGTTTTTTTTTCCACATCGGACACATCTGTCCCATTACATTTACGTATACTGAAACACGTGAATCAAAGATTTACTACCTACATCTCAGATGCATCCGATGTGGATTCTCAAACGCGGCAATAAACGTATTGTTTCTACGGCGACGTTAACACTCCTGTTGTTTTTAAAATGCGTGATAAAGAAAAATGAAGTAATCTATCCTGTTATAATAATTTAGTCCTTGTTTAGAACATCAATGACAGGTGTTTGCAGAATTTTAGACAACGATGGGCGCATACATACTGTGTAAAATAAACAGAGATGACCAGTGTATGGGATTAGAAAATATTCAGGACCGTCATGGCACTTGCGCTGCAGTGAGGTAAATCTATATTTTAAGAACCAGTAAAGGCCAACATGTCTTAATCATTTTCAAAATAATACTGAATTAGTAATGGCTTTAGGTCCTATTATGGTCCTATTAAATAGTAACAATTAAGAATTTACTTCTCTTGTAGAGAATATAGGCGCCCGTGACCTCCAGAAATATATTAAACTGACATTTGTCAGAAGTCGCTCAGTAGAAATAATTCAACAGTTTTTAATAATATTCTTTTAATTTTGTGAAGATTTTTTACTGATACATATGTAAAGAAATATTTTTATTAATATTATATTGATAGAAGGTAAACATTATTCGTAATATACCTACCTATAATATTTGGAAAGTACTAACATATTTTCGCCTATTTTAATTTTATTTCCAGATTTATATTAAAAAAATTAATAATGACTAACGGAGCAACTTCTTCGCAAACTATAACATATGCAGATCAGTTATCATCATCAGTAATATCGCTAGTTTGCAGAATTTGTTACGACACAGAGAAAGATGAAGATTTGATCACTCCTTGCAACTGCAAAGTAATTACTGGTAATAATAGAGCTGTTGCAAGGCAATTTAAAAGATTATGCCAAAGCAATAACTTTCTGCCTTTTAAATCATATATCCAATAAATTGTTTTTTAGCAGTAAATTTTATTTTTTAACTAAATTTTATCATATTTCTAGGGAACTGTAGCATTTGTACATCGATCATGCCTTGAAACCTGGTTGGGAGAATCAAATACAACGACATGCGAATTATGCCATCAAGTTTTTAATACTGAAAGAATTCCGAGGTTCTCATCAGCAGCATCCATCTGGTTTTGGTGTTGGAGGAATAATGGTACATCCCAAGAAGTTAGAAGTGATGTTTTAGCATGTACTATCATCACACCTTTGACGGTTATAATTACTTATGTTTGTTTGTTCTCTTCGGAATATTACAATCAAATAAAATTTTCCAGGTAGCTAAGAGGCGATTCTTTCATAGCTTTAGGAGCAAAAATTAAATTTTCTAGCATTTAACCAGTTTTGCTTAGACTTTATTTATTTTTTAGTGTACCTGCAGCTCGATGGACCTCTGTATCCTTATTAGTAATGATTGGAATCATGCTCATAGGTTATTACATGTGGGTCTATTCTGCAATCCGGATGCATGCTAGGAGATGGTATAATTGGTGGCAAAGAACTTGCAACGTACGGTATATCGCACCAGGTCCAGCTATAATGATTACTAGAGAACACACAAGCATACAAATAATAAATGAAAGATTAAGTGGTATCGAATTAGTTCACATAGAGGATGACAGACCGAGTGTTGTAACAAATATAGAAAAATCAACCTTAAGCGATGAAACCACTCTTTAAGCCTTTTGTTTGTAAGGGTTCTATAGTAAAGTAAAATGAGATAAGAAGGTTTTTCATTCTAAATCAATAGAAAATGAAATGCATTTGCATAGTGTCTCTATCTGCATTATGTTGTTACGTATGTTACGTTGGAAATGGAGTGTAAATAGGGAAGGTATCGATGCCTATAACGATCTTTCCAATCCTATCTTCTCAAGGAAGTGCAGGATTTAGAGTGGCTTCAGGTTAGGTAAATCTCCCTTTCTATTTGATATGCTTCCAGGTATAGTGTAATTGGATTCTGGAGTACTACACATTCAGTCAGAATGTGAATGTAGGTTTCATCCTCCTCCTTACAGAATCTGTACTCACGATCTTCTACTATTCTCAGTTTACTAAGGTGTGTTTTAAGTCGGCAATGTCTAGTAAAGGTCCCTGTTACAATACGTAGCCTATGCCTGCCCTGGCAGATTTCGGCATCCGATCTTTTCTGATTGTATTCACCTAGTAGTATCTTAGCCTGTCTTAGCCCCAAGAGATTGTTTCAATTATTGGTTCTTCTACTGCCCTGTTCTTTTATAATCTCCTAAGATTGTGTTACTGCTGATACCGCAGAACGGCTCAGGTCCCACAAAGGGTGTTTGAGTCCCTTTCCTTGCGAGACTATCTGCAATCTCGTTATCCTTTACTCCTGGGGCCCAAATGGGAGAAACTGTATTTTTCACGTCTAGCTAATTCGATTTTTCTAGACATCTCCAGACTATTTTTGAGCTGATTACGTAAGAGCTCAGCGCTTTGATGGCTGTTTGGCTATCAGACATGATGATAATCTTTTGTCTAAGATAGTTTTTCTCGATGTTAATAAAGTTGGTACGCTTCTCAATGACGCAAATTTCCGCCTGGAAGATGCTTGGGTATTTTTTTCAAACTTTCAGAGTGCCTGGTTCTAGACCCATACACTCCTACTCCAGTTCCTTCTATGGTTTTTTAACCATCAGTGAAAAAATACCGGTGTTACTTCCGAATATTTCTTTGGTAAAAATGTTCTGTAGCATATGTCGCTGGTGTTAGAAGAATTGGGTTCTTTTGTAGAAATAACTAACGAGTCATAAGTAGTAGAAAAAGAAGTGTTTTTAATTTACTATTTTCACTGAAGTAAATACCTAGTGGTTGATTCCATTTAGATATAATAATTTTCTTATCTTCACTAAACAGTTTTAAATATTTACAATTTTAGTTCATCACAATTTGATTTACTAATACAGTTGATTTTTTAGTTACCAACTTGAAAACATTTGTTTGTAGAATTTCTTATGCCATAACAATTGTAGAAGAAATAACTTTCACCAGAAAATAAAATGCATTAAACGCTTGTAAAAATGTAGAAAGTAACGTGTCGTCGGCAGAAAGAACCTGAACGTTCGGATAGCAACGACAACTGTGAGTGATGATGGCAAAAAGACAACTGAACTCGTTTGTGGCAATAAGACAACTACTGAATGCCGTTCGCGTCGAGCTCGCCCTAATATGTACTGTTCGACCGAAATGAGTGTCCGGGGCATAGTTGACGCACCTATTCGGTTTCAACCAATGAAAACATCATGACATAATGAAATACGTCATTTGTGCTTCGTTAACTATGCGCCGGACACTCATTTTGTTCCAATGCACCGCTGTGCACCTGAAAACACAGGTGTTCGACGTTCGGTATTCTGAGAAAAATGCTATTTATAGTTTTATGACTTCACATTATATTAGGGTAAAAAGCAGTCGAACTATTTGAGAATTGTTCATTTATTTAGTAGATGTAAAATATTAATTTGTTGATGTTTTTACTGGTGAAATTGTAGAATTTAACCAATCAGTATACACGTGAATAGCATATCTTTCGGTTGCAAGCATGATGGATTCTTGGCTCCATTCTTTCTAGCAGCCCAGCTCTGTGGTTTTCAAGTTTTTCACGAAACTGTACTTCTTTCTCATTTCATCTTGGAGCATATCCCAAGTATCTTCGGTCTTGAAGTTAATAGACTTTCGTCTGATATTTCCGTCCATAATCATTATATATATCGTGTCTTTTTTGCCCGTTGTCTTATTATTAAATGTAGGGGCAAGAGGTTTAAGATCACCTCCATTGCGGTTACAGGACAGGTTCTCATTGCACCGGTGATGCAAACAGGCTAGTCTTTATACTTTTGAGATATTAGCTCTCGTGGTAGCTAAACTAGTTCTGTTACTCCAGGATGTAGTCCCGTAAGTGATGATTGGTCTCACTAATGCTGTATACATCCATTGCAGTGTGTTCGGGTTACATCCCCATCTTTTACTTGCAATGTTTCTGCATACCATTAGCGGTTTTGTGTCATTATTTACTACTTTCTTCTCATGTTCACATACATTTATGTTCCAGAGAAGTTTGTTGTCCAGGGTTAGGCCTAGATATTGGACTTATTTCCATTCTATATCTATCTCGTCTGTTTCTAAGATTAAAGTAAAATGAAATAAAAAGGTTTTTCATTTTAAATCAATATCACTTGAAATTAAATGCGTTTACGTAGTGCCTCTATCTGCAATATACTACAAATATTACAATAATTTCAATTAAACAGCTTACGAAATGTGCACATTTAAGTTTTATTTTATATTTTTCTATCGCTGGCTGACGGGTTTCCTAAATTACTGTAGAATCATGGTAGCGTTTACAATCCAATGATGACAAAATTATCTGCACGCATTGGTAATATTAGATTTTATCTGATCATGTCTATAATTACTTAAGATTATAAATGAATCTATATCGGCCAAATATATCGTCACGAAATAAATAATACTAGCACAGTAAAAAACTTCCGCTACATGGACGCCACCAGGAGGACAATCGGAGTAGTTGCCTGGATAATTTTTTTTAATTTAAGGTCCGCCTATTTCTAACTACGAGGTTTAAACACGCTGGTGAGCACGCTACCCTCAAATACCAGAAATTTTGCCGAATCATCTGGTGTTCCAAGCAGAGCTAACGAGCCCTACATCTTTCGACTCTGGACCCACGGCTTTAAATTTCATCCGAAAGATGCCACACGATACCCTATACCTCGTTGATATTACGCCAGTCAGCTGTGGTATGGAAATACGCAAGCACTTGCATGGGCTTGCCAATCATCGAAGTACTAAATGCGCGCAGTCTTGCTTAACTGCAGATATTGATACACAGAAGTGAACCTGCTATATAAGCCGGATCGCAGCCCTCCGCATTTTCATTGTGGAGAAATTTTACTCTGTAAAAATATCTTAATTTCTCAATAAACGCATCCAAGAGGAGGAGTATTATCAAATTCCATATCATAATCATTTTATATTTACCCATTTTTGAATTTAAGTCCGACTCAACAAACGCCACTTATCTTTATTCAGGCAAATTTAAACTAAATAATACGTCGCGTAGAACTGTCAATCAAAATTCATGGCTATCTACAATGCGGACGTGATATTCACAGCCATTGGCCAGTAGCCATACAGATTGGACATTCTGTCACTATAGTTAAAATGAAATACTTGTAAAATACATAATAGGTAAGCGTTTCACAATTGTATTTCAATCTCAAGAGCGAGAATGTTTTCGTTCTATTATTATAAGGGGTTTCGGAAAAACTACATTCACTAGTGGCCGTGGAATTTATTTACTCGTATGACCTAGAACTGCATTATCGATATCACCCTGTATAATTACAAAAATGATAACCCTATTATTAATTATACTGGGATGATACAATTGACCAAAATGCTTACAATATGACATATTAACAATTCAAGAAAGTCTGTCAAGGTAGAAAACCCATTAAAGGTGTGATATATCGTTAACAGGCCTTAATCAGACACCTTTTTACATAAAATAAGTACAGAAATAATAAATATAATTACAAGAAAAATCAGATTACTTATTTTTCCCATTCTGTCCTAGTTCGTGTCATTATTTTTTTTTACCAGTGAGATCTGTCTTAAGTATAATATTTTCTACTAAATTTTAATGCAATTTCTGCCATTCGGCGAAAGTAACATTAATTTTTTTTTGCTTAAAATGTAATCATGCTTTTTTTCATTTTTTCTATAAAACTTTTTGGGGCACTCTATATTACTATTTTATTTCTTAATTTTTTCGTCTTCTCCAGTAACAATCTATTTTTATATCACTACCATTGCCATCGCTATAGATTTTCCTCTCCCTTGGGAAAACCAAATGGGTCTGATTAAAACAGATCTGATAAAAATGCAATAATTTTATTACACCTACCACACGCTGTAAAACAAAAGATGGGGTTTCGACTGGATAAAAAATTTTAAGTTGTGATGGAAAATATCCCATACAGCTCAAAAACATTTCGGAAATATATCAAAAATATTACGAAACATCCCAAAAACATTTCTGAAATATGCCTGAACCGTAAAAATGTCCTGTAAATATATTTCACGTTAATATTTCTAAAATAAAAATTTAAAATCTTTCAGAAATATTACATAGTAATTTTTCAAAAATATTACATGGTAATATGTCAGAAATGTTTCCTAGTTTTTCTTTTATAAATAATAGGTCTGTTCCAACAACGATGAGAAACCAGTCACTGCCACCAGGATTCTGCGCAGTAGATTATTGCGCCAAATTATCTACTGCGCAGAATCTTGATGTCAGTGACTGGTTTGTGATCGTTGTTGGAACAGACATATTATGAAACGTTGTAGAAACGTTCCTAAAATATTATTATTAGACTAAAAAAAGACATTAAAAATATACATGTTTATTTAAAATACACAAAACAGAAATATTGATTCTTAAACAAACAAATAACTAAATATTATTTTCTAATTTTGACATTTTTTGTAATCGCAGCAAGTGTCAAAATGATCTACTTTAGGCATAATATGAACATTATGAAACTGGTTTCGAAAGTCATTATGTCACCAGTTGGGAAAGAAAAATAAAAATAAACCTTTTTTTGGTTTTAAAATCAATACTTAATACATTATTATTGAAAGTTTATATCAAATAAGAAGAGCAGGTAGAATTATAAAAATAGAATTTGGTTAAACTTACAACCTAGTAATAATGTTGTATTGGTCCTTATTTTCCAGTCCAAATCAGCACAACATAATTAAAACACAATACACGACAAAACTAAATATAAACACACTGCAAGTCGTTGAGAATAAATAATTAATAATCACGTTCTAATTGTCAATAAAATGATGCATATGCAACTAACAGTACAAGAAAGTAGTATTGGTTGCCTAAATGCCAGTAA